GGTAAATTAAATATGCTTTGCGTTGTTGTGAATGTATTTAAATTAATTTATTAATAAAAACGTGAAGAAATGGATATGTATATACACTTTTTACTGAATCAAAAATATTATTAAACATGATAATAAAAACTTGGCGCTTTTGTTTTGGAAAATTGGCTTTTTCTGGTGCTCTGACGCCACACTGGCTCAGTTGTCGCAAAAGTACACATACATACATGCATTTTTACTTGAAAATAAGTGTGTGTAGTGGTTAATATGTATACGTTGCCATCTCCGTACAGCTCACTTCGCCTTGCCTAGCACGCTCGCGTGCTCGCAGTTTGCCCGCGACGTCGACCGCGTGCACCTCTGCTGTGCATCCCTAGCCTAAGGTGCCGTATGTCTGCTCACTACATTTTACAAAGGAGGAGATTGCGCTTTCGAAGAAGATCGCAAAACTCTGAACACATCGAAAACGACATCACCACACGACACGAAATTAAGGTTTTATCTACATAATCTAAACGCCTTGTCGACGGCGACACGAATTTTTTGAACGCGGCAGCGACACATGCATTTGTTTGAGTTTGACATAAAAGAAGAGGAAGAATCTTATCTGTCGCTAGAAAAATAGAAATAGATCCAATCTGGCCACAGGTACAGTTTTGGCTAGTCGCAGTGTTGCCGTGTCGTCGCGAAAATAATTGTCTACATAAGAGTAAGTCATTTGACAGCTGTGGTCCGTAGCCCGTCGTTTCCAATGGGTTTCAAGCTTTAGCTGAAGCGTTGCGCCGAAGTAAATGTAGGCATTGCAATTGCTTATGGGCCTCCGCACACTCTCGAAAAGTTTTCCCCAATTTAGGGTAACCGCCTTTTCGTTTACAGAATGCATTATTTTAACATGTGCATGTCATTGGAGGTAATCGAATAAATGTAAAATTTCTTGCCTTTGCATTACATGTAATGCAATGGATAAGCGAAAGTTGTCTTGAGGCGCCTATATTGCGTTACTCCATTGATACAAAAATAAGTGCTTCCCAAAAAGATAATAATTTTTTGCTGTGGTGGACTGCTCAGGCCGACTAAATGTAGTGAATGTAGGTTCGCAGTGCACGCTACCATTCCGCAGGGCTTTGTGTTTTGTATTATTATTATTAATATGTTTGTGAAACTAGAATAATGTTTTGTTAAATGTTATGTAAATTTGTATATTTTGTTTACAATAAAATGAATTAGCAAAACAAAACGATATTTATTAACATCTAAAACTTTTTGATGAATAAATATGAAAACTGGATACTATTTTATTTTCTAATCTCTGCACATGGCTACTCTTCAAACGATCTTTTAGGCGCTTGGGAAAAACAAATTTTAATTTAATAATTGATCACATCAAGTTGCTATTTTTGTGTGTGTAGATTTAACGCTTGTATTAAATCACAAATATTTAAAAAAATATCCCTTCTCAAAAAATTCGAGTGTAGCAAAGCTGTGCTTAATATTTACATCTGGAGAAATGTCAAAAATCTGCTTTATAATCAAAAAATAGTAGTAATTAAACTACCTTATTTTTTGTATCATGGGCAGTGTTGCCAAAGACAAATTTTTTTTCCTACCAAAACTTTATTTAAGTTTTTAATATTTTTTAATGACATGGCATCGAGATTTATGCATAAAAATCGTTAAATCGTTATTAAAAAAACAGATTTGTAAAATAATAGCTAGAGAAGATATCGCCTAACAAGGCAATGCCTTCAAAGAATAAACTGTTTTTTCGCTTTCCTGTAAAATTTGAGTATCGTAAGATAGGTGGTTTTGCAATTGGGCTATAGGCGGTTTTGCAAAAACATCGACTATCTTATTATTATTACGTCTGGGATACACGCGCTGCGACCTTAGAAGATCTATTGTTCTTAATCTTAATTGTAATCATTCCAACCTTATTCTCTTTCATAACTTAGGCACTTTGGAAGGCACCATGTTTAAATAAAATTTTGGATGAAGACAATCCTTCCCCAAAGTGTATAAGTCTGGTATTTATGATACGTGGGCAGTCACATAGAACATGCTCTGGAGTTTCCTCCACCAGCTCACTAAAGGCTAGGGACCATGCAAGTGCGTTTGGGCTCCACGCTTTGCGAGACAGTCAGCTTTCGTTGCCTTCAAACCCTTCATGTACCGGAACCCCAAACAGCGTTACGTTATAGTTGGCTTCCAAGTGGTTCAAAAGAGTTTTACAGCTGTCCACACGCCTGATGCTGTTTTAAAACACGTCTAAAGCGTTTAACTTGTCTAAATATCCGACAAAATACTTAATTTGGCCCCCTTTGTCCTTCTACACAGACCACGATTGCGAAGACTTTCGCCTGGAATATAGTTGGGTATGTGTAAATTGGCAGACTTTCTGGAATTTTGGTCCATATACGCCTGCCCCAGTACTCTCTTCATTCATCTTTGATCCGTCGGTATACCATACTTGGGACCTTTCGTCAATCGTAGTTATTATCACTTCACATAGTCCCTTTCAGGAATTCTGATCTTGTAGGGTTTATAGAAAGATAACTCGGGATTATCCAGTAATGGCTTTAGAACCTCCAAATGACCTCGAAGATCCCAAATTTTCTTGCTGATCATATTAGGCAGTCGTAGGGTGCACCTGCAGGCCTCTTTCAAACAGGATAGACAAAAGAAAAACGCCTGTAATGACACCAATGGCATCCGTTGGACAGGTGCCCATAGCTCCTGTAATGGCCAATTGGACCAGTCGGTGCAGCTTGCTAAAGGTGAAAACCTTCTTTACTTGCGTAGCTTTTGGTCACCAGGCCAGTGCCGCAAATGTGACAACGGGTCTTACTACCATATTGAAAGATCAGTAGGTTAGTTTTGGTGATATTCCTCAAGTCTTACAATAAAGTCTCTTTCAGTTGGACAATGGTGGACTTCACTGGTGAAATATTCGTGTAAACAAGGTTTCTAAAGTGCTTGAAGATACATATTTTATAATTTTCGCAAGTAACTATTATTGTCCCGGAACTTACCAAAATCCATTCCAGTTTTGGTAGGAAAAGCCCATGTTTGGCAACACTGATCATGGGGTAAATATGGATGTATGTACTACATATGGGAGTATGTAGTATATATGGGTGTTAGGGCGCTCTTACATACATAGAGGCTGTAGTTAAAATAAATAAAATTAAAAAAAAACTTTATAATATACTACGCTTTTATAAATGAACTAAAAAGTAGAAAATAATGTTTCTCAGTCCCATGGGATTTGTTGTGATAACTTTTGATTTTGAAATTTTAGCAAAATTCATTATAAACAATTTATGAGATTGAAAAAGAAAAAAGTAGAGCGCATGCCATACAAAGCATTAGATTTAATTGACAATAGTCAAACGACATAACATAGACCTAAAATTTCTACAGCGCAATAGCCCTGTAAAATTAGATAAATTTGGAAGGAAAATTGAAAAAAATTTTAACAGCGATTTTTTGATGCACTTTACTTCTATTTGACACGTAGATGATGGATCCATAGTCTTGCCCCTAAATATCATTTGGCAACATTCCGCCATCTTGGATTTAAGTTTTTTGGGGTTTTTTCCAATTTGCAAGCTTATTTTGCATTTTTCGTAAATAATGGTGAAATAGAAATATGTAGAGAATTTAATTTCCCACATTTACGATATAGAAGGTTTTTTAAAAATAGCATTGCTAAAAAAATTTTATTTTGTCACGGTTTTCGCCATGTTTTGACAATTTCTGTTGAAAATACATAACATGTTGAAATTCCAAACTTCCAAACTAGAGAATTTCATTCTTCACAACTTTTATACCAACATTTTTTTTGTACGATACTTATATCACGGCCGGGATCTTAATAAACATAGCGATTTTCCCAGTAAAATTAGATAAATTGGGTAGGAAGATTAAAAAAAAATTTGTTACAGCGATTATTTGATGCAGTTTACTTCTATTTGACACGTGGATCATGGATCCACAGTATCGCACCTAAATTTCATTTGGCAACATTCCGCCATCTTGGATTAATTTTTTTTGGATTTTTTGGGATTTGCAAGCTAATTTTGCATGTTTCATAAAAAATTGTTAAATACAAATATGTCAATCAGTTTTACGGCGCATCCCGTACATTGCTATGTTTACCGCATTCCCGGCCGTGATCTAAGCGTCGTACAAAAAAAAAGTGGGCACAAGAGTTTTGGAGAATGAAACTCTCTGCAACCTGGAAATTTTTACAATAAAAATTGCTAGTTTTAAAAAACCTTCTATATAACAAACGTGGGATATTAAATTCTCTACATATTTCTATTTAACCATTTTTTACGAAAAATGCAAAATAAGGTTGCAAATTGGAAAAAACCCAAAAAACCTTAAATCCAAGATGGCGGAATGTTGCCAAATGAAATTTAGGGGCAAGACTGTGGATCCATGATCTACGAGTCAAATAGAAGTAAACTGCATCAAAAAATTCCTGTTACAATTTTTTTTTAAGAAAAAGTCCAATTTTACTGGGCTAAAGTACAAATTTGAGATCGATCGCTGTTCATATATCCACATACACACATATACTAATTTTCACATCAATTCAAGTCTATTACATCTCATAAATTGTTTATAATTACTTGTGCTAAAATTTCAAAATCAATGGTTATCACAACAAATTCTATGGGACCATTTATAAAAGCGTAGTATATTAAAAACTTTATTTTATTTTATTTTATCCAACAATTTTTATTGAGCTTGAGGCCGTTTAAAAAAAAAACCGTTTAACAAAAAAAAAACTGATAACTTAAGGACGAGCACACCTTAAAGTTAAGCATTCTAATAATAGAAATATTAACAAAAACCAACAAAACCAACATCCACATGATCAAGTGAATTGCAGCGGAATAGCTGCGCTTGATTGTAGTTGGCTTAACAAGTGAAATAGTGGAAATAAGCAACAAGAATTAACAAGGCGAACTTAGCACAGTGCGTAGGCAACTGGCTGAGCCAGTGGGATCGTCGGTTCGACTCCTACTGAAAGAAGTATGATGAGGAAATGCATTTTCCGATTCAGAATGCCGGTCGGAAAATGAAATAGAATGTATAACAAGTGCAGAAAAGTGTAAAATTTTAAAATTATGGGCAATTGAAAATAATGTGTCTCAAGCAGTGTTGAGCGATTTGCTAAGCGCTTTAAGAAAAATAGGCATTCATGATTTACCCTTATCAGCAAAAACTCTGCTTGAAACTACAAAAAATAAATCGGTTATTAAGAATATTTCGGGTGGAGAATTTACGTATATTGGCATTCAAACGCATTTTGAATCTCGTTCATTTTCATTTTTAAATGAAAAAGATCAAGTTTTAATAGACGCATTTTGAATCTCGTTCATTTCCATTTTTAAATGAAAAAGATCAAGTTTTAATAGATGTTGGAATAGATGGTTTAAAGCTATTCAGAAGTTCAAGTAAAGTACTATGGCCTATTCTTGGTTCAATCGTTGATTTTCCAAAAGAAAAACCTTTTACTATTGCCTGCTTCTCAGGAAAACAAAAACCAAGCAATGTTAATGAATTTATGAAAGATTTTTGTGACGAAGTAGTATGTTTAAGAAATAACGGTTTAAAAGTCGGTTTGATTAACCCCATTTTGAAAAGATTTAATGTTCGTTTATTTACGTGTGATTCGCCCGCGAGAGCTTTTGTGACTGGGGTTCAAAATCATAATGCGAAAAAGGGCCTCCCTAAATGTTGTCAAGTAGGTCATTATTTAGAAAAAAGGGTATGCTTCTCTAAGAAACTATGTGAATTAAGAACCGATTTTTCATTCAAAAATAGAAATGATTTGGCACACCATAACGTAAAATTTCGGGAAGAAGAAAATGTTTTAGAAGAAGCGGGCTTTGGAATGGTTTCTCAATTTCCTTTAGATCCCATGCACCTCGTTGATTTAGGTGTGGTTAAAAAACTCTTGCATCTTCTAGTAAATAAAGTAAACGTTAACGTAATGAATGATAAGCTTTAATTTCTTTCTGTCTGGGTGCCATCTGAATTCGGAAGAGTTTGCAGAAATATTGATGAAACTGGAGATCCACTGAATATAAACAATTTTTACTATACTCGGGTATATTTGTTTTGAAAAATTGTGTTGATGAACATTTGTACTACCATTTTCTTTTATTACATGCCAGTATACGTATTCTCTCTTCCGAAAGATCTTACAAAGTAGAAGCAAATATTGTACAGCAATTATTAAATGAATTTGTTAATTTGTTTGGAAATATTTATGGGGATCATTTAATAAGTTTTAACCTGCACGGCCTTCTTCATTTGTCTTATTGTGCCAAAGAATATGTACCCTTAGACACTTTTTCGGCCTACAAATTCGAAAATTATATGCAGCACTTAAAAAAACTTATTAAATCCCCCACAAATATTTTGCAACAGTGGTATTTGAGAATTGACGAAAGAAAATATTTAATAGAAGATAAACATTCAAAACTTGATGCGTTTTTCATTAATCATATAAAAGAGAAAAATTCGTTTTGTTTTAGTGAAGATACGGGACCTTTCAAAGTCATAGATATGTGCATAGAATCAGAAGAGGAGGTAGTGGTCGGATACAAATTTAAAGAAATAAGTAATTACTTTATTGAGCCTCTTGAATCCTTTTCTGGACTTAGTATTTTGCTTGCAAGCGGGTTAAGTGATGAAATAATACGGTTTCCAAAAAAAAATATCAAATACAAATAATTTTGCATACCTTATGAAAATAATTTTCTTTTAATTCCAATATTACATCACCTCTTTCACACTAGTTATACAAGTTTATTCTACTATACATTAGCAAAATTTACTTGTTCCCATTAATAACACATTTTCTTTTTCTTTGTTTTAACCATGCCACGAATTCTGGAGAAATATGAGTGAGGAAGCCGATATTTTCAATTGGACACCCCCGGCCACATCCACCCCTAAGGACAGAAAAAGGAAAAGGCTTCAACTTTCCCTAGACTTCAACGCCTGTTCTTCAAATCAAAGTAAGCAATTGAAATAGAAAATAATCTTATAATAACCAGATATTTTTTAGTATTAACATCTTGTCACAGCCAGAGTGTGTTTGGAGCAACTGAAACACCAGTTGTTGCCGAAATTTCAGCAACAAACAAAGGTAATATAAAGCACTTTATTTAATTGGTCTAAAAATTTTACACATGATTGCACATTTATGTATGTATATGGGGGTAGCTACAAATTCTTTTATTTTACAGATGTAATGGACATGTTGGAAATTATATTACAAAAGCAAACAAATTTGGAGACCCGGTTGGATAGCTTGGAAGGAAAAGTAAGTGACTACACAGCGCGACACTGATGTTGGCCTGTGTTATTCTTATAATACTTGACTTTCTAAACCAGAAGCATTAAAAAAACTACATAAATCTGAATTAAGTTTATTAACTAGATTCCTTAGAAAGATTTTGAGTATGTATTCAGTTTTTTAGCCCATTTAATTTAAGTGCCTTAAGGTGCAAGTTTTATGTACCTATAACTTACTATTGATTTTTGGCAATTTTTTAAAGATGTTGCGTAATTTCGTCCATATAAAAAAAATCAGCGCACATATTCCGCATAGAAGAAAATGGGCAAAACCTTAAACAAAAAATCTAAAAATCAGCAGTAAGTCCCAGCTACTTCAAACTTACCTTTTATTTTACTTCAATTAAATGGGCCTCAAAACTGCATACTCAAAATTTTTCGAAGGAATCAAATTAAAAACCTTGAAATTCTTACGGTTTTTTAGAGAATAAAGTATATAGATTCGTTAAAACTTGTCAAAATGCGCCTTATAATTTTGACATGGTTTGTATTTACCTTTGAATATTTTTAAAACACATTGCATAATTTTGACTGCATATATATTTCAGATGCTTGACAAAACTGATGTGATGGCTCACCATAAAGTCGTGCGTGAGTCGAGAGTGCTAATTAAAAAAGTAAAAAGAGTGTTTGCCGCATATCCGGAGAAAGCTGCGAAGATCTCCACACAGAACTGGCCGTTCTTATGCCAATGCAATCTTTAGATGCTGGTTTTGATTTGGAGGAAAAGCTAATAGAAAAAAATTACGAAGACGGAATGGTGAGTAGATATTATATTTTCCAGTTTTATTTCGGTTCATATGTTTATTTATTAATCATCACAAATCTCTTTGCAGATATCATATCTTTTCACCATAAAAGGCTCTTCAGGAGATATTGAAGCGGTGATGGTCGATGCGGCAGAAAATCGCTATCTAAGTTGAAAATAGTTAGCGTGGCTCTGTTTGGTTTTTTATATTATTCACTTATTTTCTGAATTTTTGGTTATGTTTTTAATTATTTTTTTTCAGATATTTTCAAACTCCAGGGCCGTATAGAGTTTGAAAAGGAAGTACGAAAGAGCGTCGAATACAGCCATAATAGGTAAAAGCAGAAACGCTATTCATCTAACAAACGGAATATGCCTTTATAAATAAGCTTAGCTTTAGACAAATAAGTTTAGTTTTACACCTTAATCAAGAGACTACCAAACTAATATAAATAATAGTACAAACTAAATGTGATCTCAAATATAATATGAACATAATAGTACAAATAAAATGTGATCTCTTAGTATAATACCTTATCTGTAGTTATAAATAAATATAATATAAACTATTAATAATAATATAATAAATAAAATGCGTATCAAATAATATTGTATATTTGTATATTGTATAATAAGAAACTAAAAGCAATAATTTATAATTAATTAATTTAATTATGGTATAGTAAGAAATTAAAAGCAATAATATAACTTATAAAAAACGTAGGAAATCTAATAATAAATCGTAAATTCTCTACTTAACTAAAGCAAAAAAATATTGTATACCTAAAAAAATAATTTAATTATAAAGAAGTACAAAAACTAATAATAAGTCTTAAATACTCTAATTAACTAAAGCAAAAAAATATTGTATACCTAAAAACAATAACTTAACTTATAAAGAAGTACAAAAACTTATAATAAATCCTAAATTCTCTAATTAAATAAAGTAAATAATATTGTATACCTAAAAGCAATAATTTAACTTAGAAATAATGTAAGAAAACCTTAAAGCCAATATTAAATTTTTTATGAATTAAAATAACTAATAGTATAAAATTAAAGCAATTAAATAGTAGTATATTTGTAGATACGGACAAGTGTATTCTATATCATAGATATAAAAATGACAATGATCTTGATATACGTATGTATACTCAAATGAAAAATAAATGCATATTTATTTTTAAATAAATTGGTTTTTATTGGTTTATGTTAAGTAAACTACATTGAAATTTGTCTAATTATTTTACTGTAAACCGTCGGTAAAAATGGTTTTTAAATGACTTGGAGTTTTACTCTCTTTTGGTCAGACATTTTCTCGTAACATTACTGTCAATACGATAGTAAATTTCTTAAAAATCTCCTCGCCAAATGACTAGAAAATCAACGAGTATTGATGACGTGAATGAGCGGTGCGGCTATACAGTTGGCCATGCTCATAACCTATGAGTAAGAGCAGTATGTACAAACACACAAATAAGTATGAAATGGAAGGAAACGGTCAAAAACGTCCCAAAGCTCTTAACAATGTTACTGAAGGATTTACGGAAACTTTCAGTCACGGCTCCAGGTAAAATTACAAGTAGTTTTACCAGTATGTTTCTTGCAGGGTATTGTATTTTACCAGGCTTTTTATTTATTTTCTCTTTCAACATATACACATGCATATATGTATGTACATACCCAGCCAGCAAAAATATGAAAACCGATTCGGGAAAGGACAAAAAAGTGGATGAAGTGCGAATTTTTGTCCGTTTACTGATTCCATTTCCGGATACTTTGACGATCCGTTTTCCCACTAACGTGTGCGGCAGAAACGTATGTACAAACAACAGTATGTGAAACGAATACGTTTTCGGCTGTTTCTTCTGAAATTTGTCTGATTGAATTTTTCGTTCAATACGCTTTCCTACTGCACTTCACAAATAATTTTTCACGATTCAAAAGAAATAAAATATAATTAGGAAGCGCCTGACGGAATTCGGCACCTCCTGGAAGCTAACAAATAGCGGCAAACTCATCTACACGCTCAGCCACTGCCAACTACGCATACATGCTTTCAAATGTTTAGCCTGAGCAAATAAGTTGCAATTATTGCTTTCAAATGACATCATCTTTTTCGAACGTTTCGAACGTTTTCCAGATACGAAAATTGATGATAACAGTAGAAGTTTTTCTATTCGTTTTCGGATGTGCAAAATTGAACTAAACTGCACTGTCGGCAAAATTTACGTTTCTTTGCTGGCTGGGTACATCCGAGCACAAATTAATTTCATTTAAAGAAATGGCGCGTTGTCTATTTCCGCTGTAGCGTATGTAGAGCATATTTTTAGGCGCAATATTTCCCATCAAAGATGCTCAACAAACTATATGAATCGATTTCGTTTTGTTTATGAGCAAAATAACTTATCAAATTATTTTGTGACGTTTCAGAAAAATTTGATTTTAATTAATAATTTGATTTAATTCAACAGGGGCAACTCTTTTCGAAAAAATAAAACCAGTTTGCACATCTATAGGCCAAGCGCTTTAGTTTGACACCCCATTTTTGAAAATCGAACGAACGTTGCAGATCTTTTATGCGGAACAAAAAAGCCTTCGCGCTTTATATATATAGATTCATATCTTATCTTAAAAATGTTTAAATTTTTAATTAAATTCGACAACCACTTCGCAAAAACTTAAAATTTAGGTTAATGCAATTTTAGTGAATATATTTTTAAAATCTTTAGTGTATTTATGCCATCTGATTATTTCACATTGTAACTAGCCAGTACTATTACAGTTTTCTATATCGGATGCGATTGTTTCTGACACAATTTGAACAATGGATTTACAAATTTCGATGTGTAATTTACTGTATATTTAAAGTCTTAAAATTGTTAAATTTAAAGTAACGGTTAAAAGCGTTTTGAAAGATTCGTTGGGTGTAATAAGAGCCAATAATATATTTCCTACTAGTTTAAAAATATTTTTTAGCCGTTATTTTACGTTTAAAAATTTTAAGACTTAAACACATTACGACGCTTAATACGTCTTGTGAATCCCCTTTATATGTGATTGACCATTTAACTATATCGGTGTTTATTTGGCACAAATTAAAATACATATATTTAGCTGTTCAATATTGTAGTTCGTGTGAAACAAAATTTACGATTTACTAGTAATACCCCCGAAATTCGGGTGAAAGTAAAGAAATACTTACAAATTTAATTAGATACATCAGTTGAGCTGAGTTGAGTTGAGGTGAAATCAGTTGAGTTAATTGGATTGGGGCTAGTTGGTGTGAGTGTAGATGAGGTGAGGTGAGTTAGGTTAAATTTAGTTTTGGTGAGTTGAGGTGAAGTGAACTGAATTGAGTTAAGGTAAATAGAGGGAAGATAGAGTTGGGTGAGGTGAGTTAAGGTGTATTGAGTAGATGGTAGTTTAAGTGGGTTGAGGTGATTTAAGCCGAGTTGAGGTGGGTGAGTTTAGCTGAGTTAAGGTGAGCTGAGGTGACTTAAGATGTAGTGAAATGAGCTAGGTGAGCTACGGTGAGGCAAGATTATGGGAGGTGGGTTAAGGTGATTTGAGATGAGGTAATATGAAGTGAATAGAGGTAAATTGGGTTGAGGTGAAATGATATGGGTGCAGTTGAGGAAGTTGGTTTGTGGTGAGATAAAATTAAGTCAGTTGAGGCGCGTTGGGTTAATGTGATGTGACAAGAGGTGAAGTGAATTGTATTGATGTGAGTTGAGCCACCTCAAGGTAAGCTGAAGTAAGGTAAAATGATCCAATGATATGATGTGATATTAAGTGAGGTATGCTAGGGTAAGTTTAGTTAAGGTGAGGTGAGTTGAGTTGAGTTGAGGTTAGTTGAAGTGAGTTTGGTGAGCTAAAATGAGATGAGCTGTAGTGGCCTGAGTTGATATAAGATGAGTTGAGGTGAGCTAAAATGAGTTGATTGTACAATCAACTACAACCAAAAAAGGAGTTTCAATTCTGTAAGTGTATCAGTAAGAATGTAAAGCATTATGTTGAGAATCGGTTAATAAAATGTTTAAACGCTTACTTCACCGATTTGATATCTGACAATTTTTGGATAACCTATAGAGCTTGCACTTTAATCTGATATACAACTCAATTCTGTAGCTACTCCAGATCGCCCTAACGAAGTCGTATGACTGAGAAATCTATATATATAAAAAGAAGTTACATTTCCTTGGTAATCTTATAACTCAAGAACCGCCGAACCGATTCCCACGGTTTTGCATTCGTTGGAAAGGGCTCGGGCTCCGTGAGGTTTGTAGCAAAATTTAAAAAAAATAACTAGGGTCTCGAGATATAGACCAAAACGTGGACCTGGGTAACCTTGGGTGTATTTGTTCAATATGGGTATCAAATAAAAGCTGTTCATGAATGCTTTAGGATTGAGCACTTTTCATATAGCTGGGTGACTAGGGTCTCGAGATATAGACCAAAACGTGGACCTGGGTAACCTTGGGTGTATTTGTTCAATATGGGTATCAAATGAAAGCTGTTCATGAATGCTTTAAGATTGAGCACTCTTCATATAGCTGGGTGACTAGGGTCTCGAGATATAGACCAAAACGTGGACCTGGGTAACCTTGGGTGTATTTGTTCAATATGGGTATCAAATGAAAGCCGTTCATGAATGCTTTAAGAATGAGCATTTTTCATATAGCTGGGTGACTAGGGTCTCGAGATATAGACCAATACGTGGACCTGGGTAACCTTGGGTGTATTTGTTCAATATGGGTATCAAATGAAAGCTGTTCATGAATGCTTTAAGATTGAGCACTTTTCATATAGCTGGGTGACGAGGGTCTCGAGATACAGACCAAAACGTGGACCCGGGTAACCTTAGGATGTATTTGTTTAATATTGGTATCAAATTAAAGCTGTTCATGAATGCTTTAAGATTGAGCACTTTTCATATAGCTGGGTGACTAGGGTCTCGAGATACAGACCAAAACGTGGACCCGGGTAAACTTAGGCTGTATTTGTTTAATATGGGCATAAAATGAAAGCTGTTATGTCAAAAATATGCGGAAGCAAATAAAAAAAAAATTAAAAAATTCATGAATACCGTTTTTGTGAAAAATAAAATTGTGTAATGCGGACAGTTCTTTAATCTTCTTTAATATAAAAATTAATATAAAAATAAGTAGGGTTTTCCTTCCTAACGCTATAACTCCAGAACGCACGAACCGATTTCCACGGTTTTGCATTCGTTGGAGGTTTATAGCTAAGAAAATTCAGGAAAAATTTCAATAGAAAAGTATATGGTGTGTGAGTATCCCTCACGAAAATAAGTATGTTTCATTTAAAGTAGATGGTGCCGGTGCGTGAAACATTGTTTAACAGCTATTCATTGTACTTTGCTCAGTTAATTTCATGTGACACTAGCGAATACCCTACGTGCTTCGCTGCGCCTTAAAAGTAATTTTGTTTTGTTACTCCCTCTCACAACATTTGAAAATATTAGTTAATATTGCCGTGCATATTTGTATAGTAGGGAGATTTTTTCAAATTATATAAATATACGTTATTTGAATATTGAATCAATACACGTTTGAGGAAAGGGTGCG